TCCTTCCTTCCTTCCTTCCTTCCTTCCTTCCTTCCTTCCTTCCTTCCTTCCTTCCTTCCTTCCTTCCTTCCTTCCTTCCTTCCTTCCTTCCTTCCTCAGCACCCAGTTATAAGTGAGAACATGCAGTATTTCTCTTTCCTTCTGGTTTATTATACTTAACATAATTTTCTCTAGACTCATCCATGTTGCAGCAAATTTCATTCTGTTTTATAACTGAGTAGTATTCCATTGTGTATATATACCACATTTTCCTTATCCAGTCATCCATCAACAGACACTTAGGTTGATTCCATATTTTGACTATTGTAAATAGAGCTGCAATGAACATGGGAGTGTAGGTATCCCTTCAACGTGATGATTTCCATTCCTCTGGATATATACCCAGAAGTGGGATTGCTGGATCATATGGAAGATCTATCTGTAACTGTTTGAGAAACCTCCATACTGTTTTCCATGATGGCTGTGCTAATTTACAGTCCCACTAACAGTGTAGAAGAGTTCCCCTTTCCCCACATGTTCACCAGCATTTGGTTAATTTGGTCTTTTTAATAATGGCCAGTCTAAATGGGGTGAGATGATATCTCAATGTGGTTTTGATTTGCATTATTCTGATGACTAGTGATGCTGAGCATTTTTTCATGTTCCTGTTGGCCATTTATATGCCTTCCTTTGAAAAGTGTCCATTCATCTCCTTTGCCCATTTTTTAGTTGGATTATTTGTTTTTGTACTGTATAGTTGTTAGAGTTCTTTATATATTCTGGATATTAATCCCAAGTCAGATGTATAATTTGCAAATATTTTCTCCCATTCTGTAGGTTGTCTTTCTGGTCTGTTGATTGTTTCCTTTGCTGTGTAGAAGCTTTTTAGTTTGATATAATCCCATTTGTTTATTTTTCTTTTGTTGCTTGTGCTTTTGGGGTCTTATTCATAAAGTCTTTGCACAGTCCTACTTCCTGGAGTTTTTGCCCTATGTTTTCCTTTTGTAATTTTATGATTTCAGGTCTTATATTTAAGTCTTTAATCCATTTTGAGTTGATTTTGGTATATGGTGAGAGGTACTGGTTCAGTTTCATTCTTCTGCATATGGATGCCCAATTTTCCAAGCACCATTTATTGAAGAGGCAGTCTTTTCTCCAATGTATATTCTTGTTTCCTTTGTCAAAGATCAGTTGGATGTACATATGTGGGTTGATTCCTGGGATTTCTATTCTGTTCCGTTGATCCAAGTGTCTATTTTTATGCCAGTACCATGCTGTTTTGGTCAATAGAGCTTTGTAATATAATTTGAAGTTGGGTAGTGTTATGCTTCCAGTTTTATTTTTTTTTCCTCAGTATTGCTTTGTCTATTCAGGGTCTTTTATTGTTCCTTATGAATGTTAGGATTACTTTTTCTATTTCTGTGAAGAATGTCATTGGTATTTTGATGGGTATTGCATTGAATCTGTAGATTGCTTTGGGTAGAATGGACATTTTCAGAATGTTAACTCTTCCCATCCAAGAGCATGGTATGTCTCTCCACCATTTTGTGTCCTCTTTAATTTCTTTTAGTAGGGTTTCGTAGTTCTCATTTTAGAGATCTTTCACATCCTTGGTTATATTGATTCCTAGGTTTTTTTTTTTTTTAGCAACTATTGTAAATGGGCTTCCTTTCTTGATTTCATTTTCTGCTAGTTCATTACTGGAGTATAAAAATGTTACTGATTTCTGGGTGTTGATTTTTGTACCCTACAACATTACTGAAATTGTTAATCAGCTGTAAGAGTTTTTTGGTAAAATCTATAGGTTTTCCTGTATATAAGATCATGTCATCTGCAAACAAGGACAGTTCAACTTCATCCTTTCCACTTGCCTGATTGCTCTGGCTAGTACTTCCAATACTATGTTAAATATGAGTGATGAGAGTGGGCATCCTTTTCTTGTTCCTGTGCTTGCTCATTCAGGATGATATTGATATTGTCATAAATTGCTTTTGATGTGTAAAGATAATTTCCTTCTATACTTAATCTGCTGAGAGTCTTCATCATGAAGCGATGTTGAATTTTGTGTAATGCTTTTTCTGCATCTATCAAGATAATCAGATGGTTTTTGTCCTTAGTTTTGTTGATGTGGTGTATCACATTTATAGACTTGCATATGTTGAATCAACCTTGCATCCCTGGGATGAATCCCACTTGATCATGGTGTACAATTTTTTTGATATGTTGTTGTAGTATATTTGCTAATATTTTGTTGAGGATTTTTGCATCTATGTTCATCAAGGATATTGGCCTGTAATTTCCTCTTTTTTGTTGTTGTTGTATCTTTATCTGGTTTTGGTATTAGGTTGATGCTTGCCTCATAGAATGAGTTTGGTAGAATGGCTTCTGTTTCAATTTTTTGGAAGAGTTTGAAGAGAATTGATACTAATTCTTCTTTAAAGGTTTCATAGAATTCAGTTGTAAAGCCACCTGGTCCTGGGCTTTTCTTTGTTGGAAGACTGCTGACTACTACTTCAATCTCATTGCTTGTTTTTGGTCTGTTCAGGTTCTCTATTTCTTCTTGGTTCAGTCTTGGCAGTTTGTATGTGTCCAGAAATTTATCCATTTCCTCCACGTTTTCATATATGTTGGTGTTCAGTTGTTCATAATAATTTCTAATGATTCTTCATATTTCTGTGGTATCAGTTGTAATGTCTTCCTTTTCACTTCTGATTTTTGTTATTAGGGTCTTCGCTCTTCTTCTTTTTTTCTGTTAACCTAGATAATGGTTTTTCTATTTTATTTATCTTCTCCAAAAACCAACTTTTTTTTTTCATTGATCTTTTGTGCCATTTTGGGGGGTCTCTATTTCATTTAGTTCTGCCCTGATCTTAATTATTTCTTTCCATCTACTACTTTTAGGATTGGATTGTTTTTGTTTTTCTAGTTCTTTCAGGCACAGTGCTAGGTTGTTTTGAAGTCTTTGCATTCTTTTGATGTAAGCATTTATTGCAATAAATTTCCCTCTTTTACTGCTCTTGCAGTATCCCAAAGGTTTTGGTATGATGTATCTTTATTTTCATTAGTTTCATATAATTTTTTTGATTTTCTGCTTAATTTCTTCTTGGGCCCACAGGTCATTTGGGAGTCTGTTGTTTACTTTCCATGCACTTGTGTAGCTTCCAGAATTTTGCTTGTTATTGCTTTCCAGTTTTAATTCATTGTCGTCTGAAAAAATACTTGGAATGATTTCAATTTTTTAAAATTTGCTGACACTTCATTTGTGACCTAACATGTGGTCTATCCTGGAGAATGTTCCAGGTGCTGATGACAAAAATATGTATCCTATAGTTGTTGGACGAGATGTTCTGTAGATGTCTGCCAGGTCCAGTTGGCCTAAAGTATAGTTTAAAACCTGTGTTTCTTTGTTGGTTTGTTGCCTGGAAGATCTGCCCAACGCTGAGAGAGGGGTGTTCTGGTCACCCACTATTATCACACTAGGGTCTATCTCTTTTTTTAGGTCTAAGAGTGTTTGCTTTACATATCTGGGTGCTCCAGTGTTGGTTGCATACATATTTATGGCTGTTATGTTTTCTAGCTGGACAGATCCTTTTATCCTTATATAATGGCTTTCTCTATCTCTTTTTACAGTTTTTGGTTAAAGTCTATTTTATCTGATATAAGAATAGATACTCCTGTCATTTTTGGTTTCCATTTGCATGGTATATCTTTTTCCATCTCTTCACTTTTAGTTTGTGTGTGTCCTTATAGTTGAGGTTGGTCTCTTGACAACAGCATATAGTTGGGTCTAGCTTCTTAATCAAATCATTAGTCTGTGTCTTTTGAATTGGGAGCTTAATCCATTTTCATTTAGGGTTGTTATTGATAAGTATTTCTTTACTACTGTCATTATATTGCTTTTTATTCAGATGTCTTAAATATCATTTGTTCCTTTCTTCTCCTATTATTTTTCATCTTCAATGTTAGTTGGATTTTTGAGGTGATGTGATGCAGCCTCTTTCTCTTTCTCATTTGCATTTTGCTTTTAATGGTGGGTTTTGCTCTTTCTTGTAAATCTGTGATAGTGAATCAGGGTCTAGTGCACAGGGGCAGCACTTACCTGGGTGCCCCTGATGGATGTTAATTTGAGCAGCATAAATTTGTGCAGTTTACTCTTTTAAATTCCCTCCCCCCAAATATGGAAAAAACAAATGAAGAAAACTAAGTTAAAATCTGTACATAATTAAAGTTCCCATGGTCAGTCTCCAGTGATGCTCCTGGTAGGTGTAAAAAGTCCAAAACTCCTTACTGTATAATTAGTTCCATGTCAGTCTTTTCATAACACTTTGCCTACCTCAAAACGGATCACTGATCTTTATGGATTGGTCATCTTTTGTCTCTACATATTTCCCCAGCACATGTCATACGCTTTGAAATAACAAGTAGATTAATATATTCACTATTTTATGTTTATGTTTTCCATGTACTATGTGAAGCCTACCTCAAAAAGGACAGGATACAGATCCTTTTACACAGGTTGGGTGTGTAGAACAAGTCACACAGAGAAGGTTTTTTCTGTGCTGCCTTCAGCTCCTCCTTCATGGTGGATCTCAAAACCTTCAACAACAACAGCAATAAACTGTTCAATTATCACAAAATGGTAGGGGTGGAGGGGAGCAATGGGCACCCACAGAGAACAAGATTGATGACTTCCTTTTCTGCATGGTGGAAAATATAAACATTAAATATGCATTGACTGGTATAAAAATGGTATGAAAAGTTAATTGGGGAGCTAAAGAAGCCTCAGGGTTATTATGCTGAAACAAGGACATTTTGAACATGAGCCTTGACAGGGCTGCAGGGCATCAAAAAGAGTGTGCAGGTTAGATATTCAGATTAGTGTGGGAAGCAAATGGAGAGTTCCTTGGATTATGGTTCAAAGCTCCATTTATGGCAGATGGGCACAAAAGGCCCTGCCACTGAGCTTAGTTTTCAGCTGGCTACCCTTAGAAAAACTGTCTCAAGAAAAAGAAAATTTTCCTGACAGCCTTTATCTTGGTTCTTCTCTCAGCCTCTTTGAGGGAAATCCTGGCATGTTGTACCTCCATAAATGAAATACCTAGAATTCAATCTGAGGATGAAGTCTAGGGAGATCTTGGTGTAGCATGATTTATACCCAGACTTGATTATGACCTGGAGTTCTATGACGGCTCTGCACTTGCTAGATGTAGACCTTAAGGAAGGTAACTGAACATATCTTAGCCTCAATTTCCTCATTATTAAAAATAAGAATTAGGAGAAATAGAAGAATCAAGAGTAGGAGAAAAAATAACACCTCTTTTATAAGGATTTCTTAGGCCATACATGAGGTAACAGATGTGCATATCAAATTATATCTAGTGCACCTTGGTTGCTCANTTGATTATGACCTGGAGTTCTATGACGGCTCTGCACTTGCTAGATGTAGACCTTAAGGAAGGTAACTGAACATATCTAAGCCTCAATTTCCTCATTATTAAAAATAAGAATTAGGAGAAATAGAAGAATCAAGAGTAGGAGAAAAAATAACACCTCTTTTATAAGGATTTCTTAGGCCATACATGAGGTAACAGATGTGCATATCAAATTATATCTAGTACACCTTGGTTGCTCACTCATTTATTAATTATTCAAATAATATTAACTTCATTATAATCCCACCTCTACAAATAAACAGTACAATGAAGCACACTGGAAAAATTCCATAATGAAGGGAATTCAGAGAAATGAAAGCCCATCATAACTGAGAAAACTTACATGATCAAGGATGTCCTTTCAGTTTGTAGCCCCAGCCTGAGCAGCAAAATATTGGGTTTGTGCTTTTGTTAGGCAGGAGTCATGGTGGTGTCCCCTGCATCCAACATGTAAATCCATGACCACAGGCCATCATTATAGGGGATATTGTGAGAATAGGCTCCAAGAATTCCTTAAACCTGAGCCAGATGAGAACTACATTGTCTGCAAGACCTGACTTCAATTCATCTGTCATCAGAGTAAAAGTTCAAGATATGATGAGGTTATTTTGCACCAGTTGCTCATTTTTGGTGAACAAGTATAAATGTGAGTGAAGTTTCCATAATTATTTAGGCAGGGGATACCAGATCACTTATAGGGACAAAGGAAGCTTCCACTTAGTGGAATCCTTACTCAGGGAGCTTGCTGGATCTTTATTTTTTAAATGTAGTTTCTCAGTGATTTTCACCTTCTTTGTTAGTAAAACAAAACAAACAAACAAACAAACAAAAACTATTTGTGGGTCATAACACTACACCATGGTAAAAAGCATGAAAAAGCCTCCTGTTGAAGTCTTTCCCAATGTTGTCCCAGAGTCAGTTTGTACAGGTTCACAAAAGTCCTTTGTTAAAATTCTAGATAATTTATGAGGCAGTTGCCATCATGTTGGTAGCTTGAAATTGACTGTGGTGGAATTATTCACACCATGAAACTGACAATTGCCATAAATGTGGGATCTGTGGCTTTTTTCCTCCTGAAATGTTGGGTGTTAAACCTTCACCAGCATGCCACTGACCTTGCCTCCTGCAGTCACTTGGATTGCTCTCTACTGCAAGTTTCATCATATCCCTGGCCTCTTTAAATCTGGTTAGTTCCACCTTAACTTCTAAGACCCATTTCAGATATAACTACCTCCAAGGTGCACTTAGTGCCTCCATTGCTGCAGCAAAGCTTAGGTCTCCCTCCTTGGTATTCATATCCAACCCTTGCCACACTTCACAGAGTCTGAATCAAGTCCATTCACTTGTTGAGGGTGGTTGACCTTTATAAAGAGAGAAGCTGTTGACTTTTTTTGCCCTGCCTGTTACAGCATCTGTTATCAAGTAGTTATAAAACAAATTTAGAAGATAGAGAGGAAGGAAGGGAATAAATAAAGAAGGAGAGTAGAAGGACCCGATGGAGGGTGGAATGCATTTAGCAACTGAAAGATCTGAAATTTCAGAACTAATACAGGAATAAAACACATTGATCCAGAGAGATTTGGGAAGATGTTTGTGAACAAGACCAGAGACAGAAGAACTTGATGTTTATTGTGTCTAAAATCACGATTATTTACGTATTCAGAAAAATGTGTTAATGTAGTATACTTAAGAAAACTCTGAAATTTGGTGGATGGAATGTAAACCTACAGAGGATTCAGTAGAGAAATCCGTGTTGATCTTGCAGTTTCCTCATCACTCATAATCATATACATATGTGTGCCATTATTGACTTTCTAAGGATTGAGGGACAATGGAGCACTTTTGTTATGGTTTGACTGGGTGATGGAGTTTGGATGTATTGTCCT